AGTAAATAACTAAAATACCTTTGACTTAATTTTTTAAACAGAGTTAATTTGTGGGATCATGTAAAATAAAATGACAACCATAATAATCAAAACTATAATTAGTTTAAAATAATGATCAAACTTGACAATAAGTGACAACCACATATATCAAAAATGTAATTTAGTCATAAATTTATACTATATTATAAAACATTTAATAAAACTGCAGATAAACATAATCAAATACAAGACAAATATTTTATTTTAAATATAAAAAATCTAAAACATAATTGAGATAAGAATTGAGTTGTAACAAAGTAATTAATTATTTTTATAAAAAAATATATTATCAAACAAATGATAAATTAATTTGTTGTTAAACCTAATTAAATATGATAAAAAATAACCAAAAAAAAAATAACGAATTTTTTTAAATAGGCCATTTGTTATTAATATCGATATATTTCTTTCAAAAATAAAAATATTATCGTTTTCTCAAAACCACATAAAACCGTATTATAACATCAACAGAAACAAAAAATAAAACAACACATTAAAATCAATATATATATTTCGTATCTATTTATTATAATTTAAATAAATTTATTTTGGATAAATAAATAAATTACGAAGAGAAACTTTGTGAATAGGCCCAATAGACATATAAATAGGCCCATAGTTTTGTGGGTCTTTCTTGATCCCATTTTAAACCCTCAGAAACCGTTTCTTCCATTTCCATCCAATACTTTGCTCACAAGTCACAAGCAGCAAAAGGAATTTCATTGTTTGTTCGTCATCAAAGGTACCGTCGTCATTCTACTTCGCTTCTGATCGTTTCTTTTGTCAATTCCTAATGGTTTTGTTTGCTCTTTCTAACAGATGTTAACTTTTTCCGTTAAGTTCAGTTGAAGATATGAATGTATTAAGAAAGCAGGCTTCCATACTCAGAGAGCAGGTATTGGTATCGTTTTCAATCTGTTAAACTAGCTGATGATTTTCTCTGGAAGAAGTTTATGCTTCCATGCAACTTATGAATTATGCTCTTGAGGTGCTTGGAATCTTACTCATTTGCTGAATATATGGTTTTCTTACTTTGCCATTTTTGTGGGGTGGAACTCTGTAATTTGACATATAACAGGCCATTCTCAAGGATTTTGTCGGAGAACTTCGTGTGACAGACGTGGTTCGGGCCCTGGCCAACTTTTACGCTGCACAACTCCTAGTATGTTCCAAACAAGTCTCCACCTCGTACTCCAATGTTCGGATCATTCATGCCCACATGATTGCGTCTGGGTTCAAGCCACGGTCTCACATCCTCAACCGGTTGATGGATCTGTACTGCAAATCGTTCAACCTTGCATATGCTCGCCACCTGTTCGATGAAATCCCAGAACCAGATATCGTTGCAAGAACGACTTTTATTACTGCATATTCTGCCTCTCGAGATTTAAAGCTGGCAAGGGAGATATTTAACAAAACCCCTTTAAATATTCGGGATACCGTTTGTTACAATGCCATGATAACAGGCTGTGCTCATAATAGTGATGGTAACGCAGCAATTGAGCTCTTTTGTGACATGAAAAGACATGGATTTCGGCCTGATAACTACACTTATACAAGCATGTTGGCTGGATTGTCCCTTATAGCTGAATACGAATTGGATTGTCAGCAGCTACATTGTGAAATTGTGAAGTCAGGAACAGCGTCTGTCACATCCGTGGTAAATGCCCTAATGTCAGTATTTGTTAGGTGTGCTTCTTCCCCCTTTGTAACGTCTTCTTTGTTGATGGATGCTGCAAGAAAATTGTTTGATGAAATGCCACTTAAGGATGAGTTGTCATGGACTACAATTATCACAGGGTATATAAAAAATGATGACCTATATGGTGCGAGTCAAGTCTTTGATGGTATGAATGAAAAGTTAGCGGTTGCATGGAATGCAATGATTTCCGGATACACGCATAAAGGGATTGTTCCGAAAGCATTAGAACTGTCCAGAAAGATGCATTCGTTGGGAATCAAGTTTGATGAATTTACTTATACAAGTATCCTTTGTGCTTGTGCTAGCGCTAAATTGTTTTTGCTTGGAAAACAATTACATGCTTACATGATTAGAACAGTAACAAACCCATCTCGGGACTTTCTATATAGTGTTAACAATTCATTGATTACATTGTATTGGAAATGTGGTAAAACGGATGATGCAAGGAAAATCTTTGATAAGATGCCTATCAGGGACCTTGTTTCATGGAATACCATTTTATCTGCTTATGTTGATGTAGGGCGGATTGGAGAAGCCAGATCTTTCTTTAGTGAAATGCCAGAAAAGAACCAGTTAGCATGGAGTGTTATGATATCTGGATTTGCACAAAACGGATCTGGTGAAGAGGGTTTGAAGTTGTTCAACCAGATGAGATCAAATGAATGTCAACCATGTGATTATGCATTTGCTGGTGCCATAATTTCCTGCGCAGTGCTTGCATCATTGGACCATGGTCGCCAACTCCATGCTCAGCTTATCCAATCAGGTTTTGAATCAAGCCTGTCTGCATCTAATTCTTTGATTACAATGTATGCTAGATGTGGGGTTCTTCTAGATTCACAAACCGTGTTCTCTACAATGCCTTGTTTGGATTCAGTATCTTGGAATGCCATGATTGCAGCGTTAGGGCAACATGGGCATGGTGTTCAGGCAGTGGAGCTTTTTGAACAAATGTTGAAAGAGGACATAATTCCTGACCGAATAACATTCCTCACAATTCTTACCTCTTGTAGCCACGCAGGTCTGGTTGAAGAAGGTCAGCAATATTTTAATTCAATGTATGAGCTATATGGCATAACCCCAGGTGAAGATCATTTTGGTCGTTTGATCGACTTGTTGTGTAGAGCTGGAAAGTTCTCTGAAGCAACAGATGTGATCCAAAAAATGCCTTTTGATCCAGGAGCACCTATCTGGGAAGCACTGCTAGGTGGATGCAGAATTCATGGAAATATGGAGTTAGGGGTCCAAGCTGCAGAGAAACTCTTTCAGTTAATTCCACATCATGATGGGACCTACATACTTCTGTCAAACATGTACGCAAACTTAGGCAAATGGAACGATGTTTCCAGGGTTCGGAATTTGATGCGGATTCGAGGAGTGAAGAAAGAACCAGCTTGTAGTTGGATCGAGGTTGACAGTATGGTCCATGTATTTTTGGTGGATGACACTAATCACCCTGAGGTTCAAGAAGTATACAAGTACCTTGAGGAATTGGTTTTCAAGATGAGGAAACTAGGGTATGTTCCGGATACAAAATTTGTGTTGCATGATATGGAAAATGAGCAAAAGGAATATGCATTATCTACTCACAGTGAGAAGCTTGCAGTTGCTTTTGGGCTTTTAAAGCTTCCTTCTGGAGCCATGATCAGGGTCTTCAAGAACCTGAGGATTTGTGGGGATTGTCACAATGCCTTTAAGTTCATGTCACAAGTTGTGGAGAGAGAAATTGTTGTAAGAGATGGGAAGAGGTTTCATCATTTTAGGAATGGGAAATGTTCTTGTGGCAATTACTGGTGAAAAGCACCTTGTACATAGCTTCATCCAATGTTGCATCTCATTGGCGTTCCTTTCGGTATTGGAAAGGAAATATACATCCCATTTGGTAGATAGGTACGTTGAACTTTCTTACATCACCTTCAAGCAAACTTTATGTTAGATGGCCAAGAAAAGTCACTAAAGTAGATAATATGGTGAAAACCGTCATTTGCAGAAAGTATATTGTATCAATCAGCAACAATAGAATTGGGGATCACATCACTTGCATGGTTACATAGATAACAATAAGTGATTCTGACTTGGAGAGCAAATGATGGTTGCACATTAAGGGTATACGTCAATGTTGCATTCTCCAAGAAAACCATGTGGAAAGGTTTACATGCTTATTTTACTTTCTTTGTTCTTGTTATTGTTTAATCCGTGAAAACTACAGTTGAACACCACCCACTAGACTCGTCTTGAGTGCCACTTCTTGAGTTGATAAAAACTTGATTTTGTATCTAACAAAAACAATAAAAATCCAAAGCTTGAA